TCTCTCTGTGTCTGGTTTCACTACACAGCACCGTCTCCTAAAGAAACACACATCCACTATCAACCTCCACACAAAGCTGTCTTTCTGAGAGAGAGCAGTAGTTTTTTTATGTTGTATGAGGGGTCATAAGTCTTGTGTGTGAGCTTACAGTGTTATTAAGTCAGTGGGGGAGGAAAAGTATGGCTCCATCAAAACTTATCGTGCTGGAAGAGAAGAGCAGACGTCGAGACTCCATGGGTGGTTTGAAATCCACGTGATATTGATACAGAGCCCACTGGGGTCGTGACAGTAAGTGCATGAAGTTCGCCAGGAGCTGAATTTGAGAACCTGACACTCCTACTAAACAACAAAGAGGCACATATAATAATAATTATCCATATTACTACCAAAAATACCATTATTCTTTATCTCACTGTCCCCTTTAACTCTAGTTGGAACACATGCATGTGCACATTGGTCATAGTAAAATTAACAGGCATGTGGAATTAGGGTTTTGTGTGTGAACATGTCTTCTATCACTACATAAAAAAGCCCCATGTTGTGTTGTTATACACACCAAGATCATTTCTGAACAAATGCGAGACAGTTTATTATTGATTTGTTTCACCTGTTCAAATATAAAAGGGGAATGCTGTGCTAAGTATATTCATTTGTATTTGTTTTCTTGTTTAAAATGCTATCGACAAACCTACAGATTTTCAGCTCTGTTAGATCAACGTTTTTACATCTAAACATGTGACGACAGCACTGACAGATCACATTGCTAAAGGAGACAGGCACATTAAACGGCAGAAATAGCTACTATTGCCCCAACATCAAAGGGAGGATTTTTTGTCGTGTTCCATGAGTTGGCGAGTGTAGCCTCCAAGTCTCATCTGCGTCCTCCTCTCTCTGTGGACTTCACCTGCTGGATACCTGCACCAATCTGGAGGACATCTGGAAAAAACAAAGATACAAGGTGTGGAGTTTTGCAATTGAAAGTTCAAAATATTCAATTGAATATACAGTATTGCCAGGCTGTATTCATACTTGGGCTGCACCATACGGACAAAACTGTGATTATACTGCAATGTAGTTTGATTACAGTATAACTTACAATACATTAAAAATGCACTACTCTCTATTTTTGTAAAAAAATCTTCTTATACATTTATTTCTTATTGTTTTTTGGTGAATCTTACTCAGAATGCTTTACATCCCTATGTAGGTCTGTGTACGGGAGGACAGGGGTGGAAAACGTACAGAGAAAAACTACTAAGTGAAAATTGGACCATTGTGTCAAAATCTTACTCAACTAAAAGTGAAAGTTTGTAGGCAAAAATGTAGTGAGAGTAATAAAGTATCTACATGTAACGCCTTTTCACAGAAGCCATTAAATGAAATGTATGCCTGTTTTGGAGGACCTTTTTTCAATAATGTTATAGGAATATATTTTGATGTAAATATGTATGATTTACAAAACCAGAAGTGAACAGGATTTTCATCTTTGCAAGTGAGCAAGCAAGTCGTGAAAGCTGCAGCTGTGCTGTTCGTTTTACCTCGGCATGACTGTCTTTGTGGAGAGGTGTGAATTGTTTTCACAGCAGGCAGTTCTCACCCCTCCCTTTTTACCCCTCATTGCTCACGAGCAGCTCAACACAGAGTCACAGCGTTACACACACAGAGACAACAGTGTTCTTGTTAATCAGAGCTACAGGGCGTTTATTTGATTGGTGGCCGAGACCACTAAGGCATCTGCAGAAAGAGGTTAAACATGCTCAAGTATAAAAAAGTACATGTTTTAATAAATAAATGATGTGTAGGTAGTTTTCTCTAGTTTGCCCCAGCTGTTTTAAAGCTCCTAAAAGGTTTTGCCCTGCAATTTTATGTAAGGGTGCCTTGGGATGAAATTAACGTAGAAAATTATATTTTTTTTCTTTGGTCATGTATGATGCGGTGACTAATAAGTGTTACTATCACAAAGAAAAACGAGCATCGTTATGGGCACTTTCATTTTACACTGAAAGAAATTTAATTGGATCTTTTAATAGAAACAATAAATTAAAATGTATGAGAACAACAGATTGAAAAGAGAATAAGAGGAAGTCTCCTGGCCTAAATTAAATTGAAAGGAGTGAAAAGTAGTTTTTCTTCTTTTGGAAAGTTAACTGAGAAAAAAATACAAGTGTTCAACTTCAATAATACTTGAGCAAAGTACAAATCGTCCAAAACAGCATGTAAGTACAGTCGTAAACTGCCTGCCTGTCATTACAGTGATGTAATGTTAACCCAGAAACTTTTAGAACCAAACAAATGAAATAAGAATATAATCTAAAAAAGCGTCAATGTGATGTGATTAAAGATCAGCCTGCGCTATTTTTGACAAACATGATTTTTTTTTTTGTTGGATCAAGTAAGACTACCAACTACTGATGAACTTTAGGATTCTCACCTTCTGCAGAAATCATCTGCCTTCTTTGCCTTGCAACATCTCCCTCAGCTGGAGGCAGAGCAGCATGAGGAAGTGCAGGCTGCAGGAACAAACACTCAGCCATTAGCTGAAGAAACGAAGGCCTCTACACAACTGAGGGTCCAAATGTCATCAATTAATCCATTTAGCTGGACCAGCCAGACCATCTCCTGAGAACAATCTGCTTTATTTATTTATAGGTTATGATCATATCAGATATGAGTATAAACAATCAGATATGAGTAGAGACATCAGATATGAGTATAGACAATCAGATATGAGTATAAACATCAGATATGAGTATAGACAATCAGATATGAGTATAAACATCAGATATGAGTATAGACAATCAGATATGAGTATAGACATCAGGTACAAGTATAGACATCAGATATGAGTATAGACAATCAGATATGAGTATAAACATCAGATATGAGTATAGACAATCAGATATGAGTATAGACATCAGGTATGAGTATAAACATCAGATATGAGTATAGACAATCAGATATGAGTATAGACATCAGGTACAAGTATAGACATCAGATATGAGTATAGACAATCAGATATGAGTATAGACATCAGGTATGAGTATAAACATCAGATATGAGTATAGACAATCAGATATGAGTATAGACATCAGGTACAAGTATAGACATCAGATATGAGTATAGACAATCAGATATAAGTATAAACATCAGATATGAGTATAGACAATCAGATATGAGTACAGACAATCAGATATGAGTATAAACATCAGATATGAGTATAGACAATCAGATATGAGTATAGACATCAGGTACAAGTATAGACATCAGATATGAGTATAGACAATCAGATATAAGTATAAACATCAGATATGAGTATAGACAATCAGATATGAGTACAGACAATCAGATATGAGTATAAACATCAGATATGAGTATAGACAATCAGATATGAGTATAGACATCAGGTACAAGTGTAGACATCAGATATGAGTATAGACAATCAGATATGAGTATAAACATCAGATATGAGTATACACAATCAGATATGAGTATAAACATCAGATATGAGTATAGACAATCAGATATGAGTATAGACATCAGGTATGAGTATAGACAATCAGATATAAAACATTCACTGACCATTTTAAATGGTAACATAAGGTATCAGCAAAAATTGGTGCCGTGTTTTCATAGCAACAACAGGGTTTCCACTCTTTTTGGAAAACCATTTTCTGTGACTTTCCCTGGACATTTTCTGTGACTTACACACACGACAGCTGATATCTGCTGACATCCTTAAACACCCTTTAACAGCCCCGCACTGGTCAGTCAGTGCCTCACTCTAAGAAGTGACTTATATCTCCATTTATAATGTTACGTTGTGTGTACGTCGGCGTGCATTTATGTGCACTCCAATCTCAGCGGCTTAAAAGCCCAACTTAGGGGTGGGCAATATGGCAAAAATATCATATCACGATTCTTTTCAGGACACTATACAGATCACGATACTTTGACACGACCGATGATATCCGCAATACGCTCACAAAAGCATACTGTGTATCATGATGATGGAATTTATCATGATAACGATAAAATATCATCACATTGCCCACCTCTAGCCCAACTTTACACTGTCAGTTTTCTAACAACTCACAAATATTTCCAGGGCATTTTAGCAACTGTCTCGTTTTCCAGGTGACACCATCTGTTTACAGTTCATAGCCCAGATTTGTGGAAAAATGGGTCGACTTTCAGTAGACAAAAAATTCAGAGTTCAGCTTCTTCTATTACAAGGGTTTAAAATTACATCACCCATCTATTTGACTGGAAAGAACACAGTTACTCTCATACGACACCCATCTTTTGAATGTAGCTTATGAAATATGATAGTTATGAAGAATATGACGAAGTGCGTTTTGGAACCACCGGTGGTCTCAAGGAGTTTAAGAGGTTGACTTGTTGGAGTTGGATTTGCAGGTACACCCCTCTCCTCATCCCTCTTTGTGGATCTGGGTTGCCAAATCCCGTATTTGTAAACCAGTTATCGACCTGGCAACGTTTCCTCAAATGAATGAAATGGATCGACGGTAGATGCATGCTCCTGCAGATTAGTTTATATTTTAAGACAGAGATTAAGATTCTTAATCTGTAATCGTGTTTTAAATGGTTGCCTCACTTCATTTCATCGTTTCATTTATTTACTTAAATATGTATAATATTGTTATGTGTACACAAAGTATTCATTAGACAAAAAAAACAAAACAAAACATGGACATAAGGATGACCATGGTGATAAAGAGATTAATACTAAGATCACTAGTTAAAATGGTAAAATCGTACTGAAAGGCAGGTCAGTTGCAATAAAAAGAAGCCATCCTTCAGTCAGAAGCCAACTTCAGCTTCGTAACTGTTTGTGTAGGCGTTTTTTAAAGCTTTGCTTTTGAGATTGAGGTTAGTGTTTACATCCACTCATATTGAAGCACATGGGAAAACCCCACAAAGAAGGAATACAAGCTATTGGCCTGTGTGTGTGTGTGTGTGTGTGTGTGTGTGTGTGTGTGTGTGTGCGGCGCTCAGCCAGTGAAGCAAGAAAGGAAAGACAGACAGGAGGAAGCATCTCTACTGTGTAGATGTGGAGGGAGGAGTAACGTTAGAGCTTCCCAACCCACTTCCAAACCTAGTTTATCGATGAAAGACACATTTTAACCACTTTATAAATGCTTTTCAGGCGTTGTTGGGCTTCACCTTCGTCGTTTTCCCTCCTCAGTGGCTGCTGATGTTGGAGATGGACTTTTCCATAGAAGTGAACGGGCGCGTCCTGTCAGCACTAGATAACTCCGTTTACTGAGCTCAGCTCCCCAAAAGGAAACTGTAATGAGGGACCGTCTGGCTGATTTGAACGCGGTGAGTAAGTCTGATAACTTCTCAGCGGTCAGAAAGGTCAGAAAGCGGCACTTTGTGGTTTATAAACCGTTTCATTTGCTAGCCGAGGCTGCTAAGCTGGTCGTGTTTAGGTGGCGCTAACTAGCGCCGTTTTTACGCAGCTCAGCCTCGCTTCCCTGCGCGCTATCTTTGGGAAAAGTGTGTGAGAAGTTGATGCGTGGATCACAGAGGCTTGTATACAAGTCTGACATGAGCAACTTCTGCTCGGTAAAGGTGATATATCGCTCATAAATATGATATTTCTATCATATTTGTACATTTGGACAGTTTCTACAAAGTCTAAGGCCGTTTCTCCCCAGCCTAGTCCTTGTGGACCAACATACGGTCCACATTTCGGCCCTTTTCCACCTCTTAGCGCCACTTGACCGTTAAAGGGGAACTCCACCGGTTTTTCAAAAATTCTTCAAAATTAAATAGTCGAGATGTAAAGTCATTCCGAGTTGTCTGGTGTGAAAAACTCCGCTCTAGAGAAAATTACAGAGTCAAAATTGTTCACAGTGGTGGTGATAGGACATTGTGACCCCTGGTTCCTATCACCAACACTGTAAAGAAAGCTGAGTCTGTACGTTTCTCTACAACGAACCACTTCACATCAAACCACTCTGAATGACTCTGTTCACATTTGAAGGATTGAATTATTCGGAAGTTTAGAAGAATTGGTGGAACTTCCTTTTAACTACTTTAACTACTTCACTGTACAGAGGTGTACTAATAGATCGCTGGGGTTTTAGGAATGCACCGATATGGGGATGGTGGGCTGATGACAATGGTCGATATTTTTCATGTGCGTATCTGCCGATACATAAACATTTTTAAAAACGTAGAAATTGGTAAACAAATCTATCTGGATTAGCATTACACTGAATGTAAGAGTTATTAATAAAATGTTATAAATCCAGTAAAATAAATAAAATGTAGACATTTTAACACTGTAGCCCAGCATCACCTAAACACTCTGGTCTTTTGGAGTACAATAAATAGAAATATCGGGTTGAAATATCAGTTAAATGTAAACGTCTGTCTGGTACTGATATTTTTTCAGTAATTATCTGCCGATAGCAGTAAGACTGTGATATCAAGTACACATGCGATTGGTCTGTGAGTCTCCCAGGCCGCTAAAGCAGTACCGTAAAGGCTAGAAAAGTTACGCCGATTAAAATAGGACCACCCTGTCGAAATTAAATAATTCTCCATAGTTTATCGGTTATAGGTCCAGGTCCGCATAGGACAGCGTCTGGTTAAAGATTTTTTAAGTGTTCTTTAGTAAAGGCATTGGTTCTATTTAGAACCATGAGTTCTACATAGAACTTTTTCATACTTAAATGGTTCTTTGTATAGTGAAATGGTTCTTCAGATTGATGGAGAATGTGTTTGTATTTGGTTTTGACAATGGTGCTGTATGAAAATAGTAACAATAGAAGAACCCTTTTGGTGCTATACAGAACCATTTTCAAAAAGGTTCTAAAAAGAACCATTCCTATTACTAAACAACCCTTGAAGGGCCATCTTTTTTAAGAGTGTAGTTATTATCGATAGGGCTGGATATCGCTCAAAATATTTTAATACTGCTATCAATACCAATACCTTGACTTCAGTTCTGACTTCTGACACTTTTATGATACTTTCTGGTAGATTACAAACCAAAAGTGCATACAAAAGCAAGTATGAGATACTGGAGTTTGGCATCTGTGCTACAAATCGCAATCATATAGGTATATTTATAGATATTTATAATAATATAGGTTTATTTTTAAAGTAAAGTGGCATTGGACAAATATTTAGATTTGACCGATGTTTCATACTGATATTTGGTGAAAATATACAATAACTGCGCTAATCCTGGTAGCTGTAGTCTCAATTTCCACATTTTCTAAGTGTTCATGTATCGTCAGGATTAAATGTGTCCTTGAAAAACATTGGATGTCGACATTGACCCACAGTTTCCATATCGGTGCATCCCTGGTATGTTTAAGCAGTAGAACACAAGAGGGAGTGTGTTATCGCGAAATACCATCACGGCTGTGATTTGGTCGCAGGCATTTAATATGTTTTAACGTTAGCAATTCCTTCCGCCAAATTATAGTTTCTTAACAAGCAGCTTGTTGCTACGTCACAGAAATGAACTCCGCTCACTCGCTGCACAGCCTGCGGACTGAGCGATAAAACTGCCACAATATCAAGTTTAGTTCGGTTTTGTCTTTTTTGCCAGATCAATATTAATGTTGTTTTGTTCCAGCCAGTCTGTAAAGCATCTTACAGCTCATTTAGTTTGGCGAATGGTATTGGGTTCATTTCTGGCTGATTCCAGGTTGTTTAGCTGTTCTTCTGTCACAGCTGCCGACTGAAAAGCTGCTCAGTGGTGATGACAGTTTGGGAATTTAGTGTTGTCTCATCTTCAGAGTCTGACCAAATCGGGCGTCGGTCAAATCTAATCTTAAAAGCATCCATTTTCTGTTTGTGGCAAAGTAAGAAGTAAAAACGTTCAAACGGCTTGAGCGTCTCCTACAGCTGTCAAAGTCGTTGCTTAGCAAGGGCATCTCAGCAGAGTGATACAGTGGTTGTGAAAAAAACGTGATGTTATGGCGAAACATACATATGCAGTGCAATTCAGCCAGCCAATCAGCAGTCTAGATTTTGGTGCAAGCTTGCATATTGGTTCACAGATGCTTATAAGACCGACTGCTTAGATTCTGAAATTTAGTACTGAATGACATGGAATCTTTTTATACTCTGTAGTTTTGGTCAAGATCATAAAAGTACTGCATTTTGATGCCCAGCCCTGATTATCACTGCTGTGTTTTTGGACTATGTGATGTATATTGCTGGTCAACACTGGTGTGCCGTGATATTGACACATGCTGTGATGTTTTTCAGCTTTACCAGTATTTAGAAATATATCTGATAGATAATGAGCATTACATCATGGATATAAAGAAGTAGTGTCAAGTTGCCAAGTAGGTTTTGTTGCTTTTAGTTAATTTAATTTAGTTAAATCTACTTGGGGCTTAGTGCTGTTTGCCTGCCAGGTAACTGTAATGTTTGTCATTTACTGGAAGCTGCATATTTTTTTTAAAGAACAGTTTAAAATTCACAGAAATTAAATAAGCAGAAAGTTTCCTTTCAGGAAATGGGCTTTCTGTCTGTTTAGTGTTTACCGTACTGTGTGCACTGCCCTTTGTGAATTTAAGATACCAAAATGGAAGCCCATTCCTGTCCGGTAGAGAAGAAAAAACAGCCAGTATTTTTTTTTCTTGTTCATCGTTTCTGGCAGCATTATGTCAAAATGTTAGTTAGAATCTCCAAATAACTTTCTGAAATTATACCCAAGTTTCTCAAGATTTATTAATCTAATTGAATTTCTAGTAAATAAGTAATTAATTTGGGGCAAAAAGTCATTATTACAAGATACTTAGTGATTATCTCAACATATTAAGTAAATATTTTAGGACAATAAGTCATTATTCTGACTTAATAAGCCAATATTTTGAGACTTTATTGTCCTTTTTTTTGAGACCTTTGCTTTCTACTGTCTGCCCTGTTTCTCCCTCAGTGTCCTCTTTTTTGAAAACCAAAATATTGTAACCTTAACTAAGTCAGTATAATGGCAAATTAAGTCATTGTTTCAAGATACTAAGTCAATATTTTGACATAGTGCTGCCAGAAGCAGGAAAGGAGGAAAGAAATGCATTTATTTTTCTCTTCCTGGCGGGAATAAACTTCCATAGAAGACAATGAACAAAACAGTCCAATCAAGAAAAGCTGTGTCAGGTTTGTAGATGTTCTTTTAGCGCACAGCAGCAGCAATTAGGAAGAATGAGCTCATTAACTTTATTAATGCTAACTTATTAACTGTATTAGTACCATCTTAAATGCCATCTGTTACTATGATAGTGGAAAATATTGTAATATTAAATAGTGAAGTGAACTCCTGAGCTGCTTCAGTCACTCAGACTCCATGGTTCACCCCCTGGAGCCACATTCAGATGTGCTTTCTGTAAATGGCACTTTGACGTTTCCGTAAACAAGAGCACATGTATTCCATATTTTATGATATGATGGACTAATGACTAATACATCAGTTACTTCCTTTAGGGAAGGACCGGTGAGGAGGAGGATGGCAGCGTCACTGTTTCTGTGGACCAAGGAGGCTTCATGGAGGACTTTTTCAGGAAGGTAGTGCTCCAGCTTCTTCAGGTCCAAAATGTCTGTCCTTTTAACTTTTTGACACGTCCATACTTATTTCAATCTTCATTCATTTCTCAATTCAAATTAAATCAAGAACAGTGTCAGTTCTGCAGCATTTGCACTCAAATATCCAGTACATAAAATTCAGTCAGTCTCAGTCAGTGACCATAGTTGGGTTTTTGCAATAATTTTATTTAGATGTTATTTGTAATTTTATTTAAATTCTTTTTGTTTGTATTTGTTTATGTTCAAAAAGCTGATTATGTATAACTTTGTTTATAGTTTATCTCTGATGTGCTATTATGCGCACATTGCTAGCTGTGCAATGCAGGATCTTGATAAACAGACATATTGTTCCTCACCAAATAGGTGTGTCAAAGAATCAGAAGTGCAGATCTTGTTCTCAGTTCTGATCCAAAACACGATGATTCCCATTTAATCAAGAATCGATCAGCACTGGGTGCCGCTGAAGTTTGTGTCGTGTGTTTCAGGTGGAGGAGGTCAGGAGTGTCATTGATAAAATCTCCTCCCAGGTGAATGAAGTGAAGAAGAAACACAGCGCGATTCTTTCAGCGCCAAATCCTGATGAAAGTGAGTCCTTCAGACACCAAACACACAATAGGGGAGACCAGGTATCGTTGTAACATGGGGAGAGTTGTAGTAACACCACCAATTTCACCAGCCAGAGATTAGATAGGATTCATATGATCATTTCAGTTGTTACCCACTTCCACCCCGATCCCACATGGTGGTTGTCAAGGCTGGAAACAGGCACATGCAGATTCTATAGAGACAAAATGGATTTTGATGTAAAATTTTTTTTTTTGACCAGCACTTTTTTGTTTAGTACTTATACTATCACAGCTAAAACCATTTGACTTGTATTAGATTCAACTGTAGTTTCTCCGGCAAAATATGATGCATTTTTCCGCTGCTAATTTCAAACCACTATGCTAAGTCAGCTAGCTATACAATGGCTGACAGGGGTGGGGTGGGTTGTAACACATCTTTGAAAAATGTTTCCGCCATCCCCTTACGTACAACTTGGAACATTTTACTGATTTTAATAATTTTATAGAATGCCTACTCAGAAAGACTGACAGAGGTGTGCCAGACGATGTTTAACAAAAGCAAACGATGGAGTCACAAAGAAGGGCAATCAGTCAGATCAGTTGTAAAGGCACATGGGATCCACCATGTGACACTGAGCAGATACTGCAAATCACTGCAGAAGCCAAAAGACCTGGGATTCAGTGATCTTCTCAGTGTAGGTTACTGGAGCAGCAACAGGCTTTTCTCTGAGATGCAGGAGGAAGTGTTGGCTGAACGTTGAACTCGGGCAGCAGACCTGTATTATGGACCAACTCCACATGAGATGTGGCTGGTTGGAGAGTGGAGTAAATTTGAATACTAGCACAGGTGCCAGACAAACTGAAAAACCTTTTGTATCTATGTACTCAGGTTTTCTGCTCCACTTTTTTTTAGATCAGAAAATTTGCATATCATGTGGCAGTAATACACTATATTGCCAAAGGTATTTGCTCGTCTGCCTTCACACGTATATGAACTTGAGTGACATCCCATTCATATTAAAACCATAGGGTTTAATATGATGTCGGCCCACCCTTTGCAGCTATAACAGCTTCAGCTCTTCTGGGAAGGCTTTCCACAAGGTTTAGGAGTGTGTTTGTGGTGATGTAAGGCTTGGATGCAGCTGCTCAGCCATGGAAACCCATTCCATGAAGCTCTCTACGCTGTTCTTGAGCTAATCTGAAGGCCACATGAAGTTTGGAGGTCTGTAGCGATTGACTCTGCAGAAAGTTGGTGACCTCTGCGCACTATGCGCCTCAGCATCAGTTGACCCCGCTCTGTCATTTTACGTGGCCGACCACTTTGTGGCTGAGTTGCTGTCATTCCCAATTGCTTCCACTTTGTTATAATACCACTGACAGTTGACTGTGGAATATTTAGTAGCGAGGAAATTTCACGACTGGACTTGTTGCACAGGTGGCATCCTATCACAGTACCACGCTGGAATTCAGTCTCCTGAGAGCGACCCATTCTTTCACAAATGTTTATAGAAGCAGGTTTTATACACCGGTGGCCATGGAAGTGATTGGAACATCTGAATTCAATGGTTTGGATGGGTGAGTGAACACTTTTGGCAATATAGTGTATATAACATGAAACAACCACAAACATGGGGTGAGACGCATTGTTCTGGGTTGTTATTTTATTTCAGTAAGCCTCTTTTTGAAGCATATTGCATGGTGTGGTCTCTCATGTCTAATTGTTACAACTTACCCCAACATGTGTTACAATCTACCCTGGTAGTGGGGTAGGTTGTAACAAAGGAACACCATGTATTTGACATCAACTCATGAAGTCTGTGATATCCTTCCTGAGGATTGAATTGAAGCCAATATGGGTACTTTGTATAAAAGTTTGAGACCTCTAGCTCAAAAATTCAGTGAGATACAGCTGCTGAAACAAAGTGTTACAATCATACCCGGTCTCCTCTATACACCAAACACAATGTTACTTATTCATCAGATTGGTTTAAAAAAAGAGCGCAGATTTGACCACGTCTCATGATGTACAAACTACTCTGCATCTGATTCATCAGGTTTTCTTATGACATGGAAACGAGCGGAGATTTGAGCACAAATGGTGAATCAGCTTCAGTGCAGTCATGCAGATGTTTTGGTAGGAAGCCAATAAAACAACAGAATTCAGTTGATTTAAATAAACAAAATGTCGTAAGATTGCAGGAGGGTGTGATTGTGTATTGTGAACATTGACCTAAATTGACATGGAGTTGTTGCAGCATTTGTTTATACCAATGTGCATGTAAGTACATCCACTTTTGTACTGGATTGCCATGTGCAGAATATTTTTTTTTTTTTATTTATTTTTAAAAGCTCTTATTGTTGGTATTATAGCTGACATTGAAAGTAGTTTTAGCTAGTTAAATTGACTAAATTGGGGGAGAAATTTGGGGAGAATTTAGAATTTAATTTTCTTCAAACTTACAAATCTCCTATGGCATCAACCAAAGAACCTTTTTTTAAATTTTATATATATATGTATATTATTTACTATATATATATATTATATATTTACTTTATTTTATACTTATACTGAATACACAAATGTAAGTGGAGGAACTATTTACACAGTAGTGAAATACAGACAATAAAAATAAGCCGTAAACAAAATCCCAATGATGTTATTTTAGCCAAAGAATTTGCATGTGGAATTTTGATAAAAACATAACATATTATCAATATAATTGTGCATATAATCAATATAATTAATTCTACCGTTACAGAAAATGTGCGTCGAAACAGTCTTACAGCCCTACCGTACAGTTTTCTCTGTACACATGCTCTGATTATGTGGTGCAGTAACTTTCCATATGGGTCGATATAAAAAGTGAATGCTTCCTGGAGATCTGAAAGGTGGTACCTGCTGGTTGTTTTAGTCCATTGTTTGAGCACACATGTTGTGTGTAGTCCAGTGCCATCTCCTGAAGTGATTAATTACATAGAGAACATCTGTTTGATTTGTTTGAATGAGGCTCATTGTGTTGAACTGGTTAACGTGTCCTGGCTTTGCGTCACAGCGCCACTCTAAAGCAAATGCGCAGCAGCTCAAGTCATTGTTTTAAATGCAAGCTTGAGGTACAGCAGGAAACCACACATCACTCAGAAGATACAAACACTCACACTGGGCACTTCAGGAAGCGTGTAGGAAACCTCTCCCTTTCCCCTCCAAACGCACTCATTCACATGCTTTAGGATACTTGTTTATATACACATCAACACATCAATCGATACTACACATAATCAGTCAATAGTATGACTAATGCTCTAGATTATATTAGTAATTGAATAATCTACTGATTACTGTAGCAATTAATGAGTGTCAGGTTTTTTAAAAGGGTCAATTATAATGAACTTGAACAATAATAAACCATGTATAGACCTTTAAAGTGATAACATTCACCATCAATTTATATTGTCAGCATTACATATAAAAGCTTGGTAGGTGCGTGTTCCTTAACTGATAGTCTTGGTTTGCAATTAAAATGTGTTTCTACAATTTATGTTGTAGTACCAAGTCAAAGTAAAGAAAACTATCATTGCCCATCATTACTAATGTTGGAGCACCATAAGGATGCGTCTGGATCTGACTCATTGCTCAGGAACTGAATCATTTTATTTTTATAAATTCTGATTACTCTGTGTTATTAGATCCGTTAATAGATAATGATGACATTAATCTATTTCAGCAGGGTGTTAAAAGGCTAATAAATAGGTGTGGCCAAAATGCTCTCATCACCAATACAAAGAAGACAGAGGAGATTATTTTTGGTCTCTCTTCTGATTCATATCCACCTCCATTAAGAATTCATAGTCAGGAAATTAAGCAGGTTATGTCCTATAAATACCTTGGTGTTCACATACACTCATTGAGCACTTTATAAGATACACTTACTATGTTTCTGCATTTATGGCCCATTTTATCAGGTCCACTTACCGTGTAGGAGCACTTTGTAGTTCTACAATTACAGACTGTAGTCCATCTGTTTGAGTATGTACTTTGTTACCCCCCTTTCACCCAATTCTTCTATGGTCAGGACCACCACAGAACAGGTATTATTGGGGTGGTGGATCATTCTCAGCACTGCAGTGACACTGACATGGTGGTGATGTGTTATTGTGTGTTGCGCTGGTATGAGTGGATCAGACACGTCAGTGTAACTGCACTACTGAGAATGATCCACCACCCAAATAATACCTGCTTTGTGGTGGTCCTGTTGGGGTCCTGACCATTGAAGAACAGAGTAAAAGTGGGCTAACAAAGTATGCAGAGAAACAGATGGACTACAGTCTGTAACTGTAGAACTACAAAGTGCTCCTACATGGTAAGTAGAGCTGATAAAATGGGCAGTAAATGTAGATACTAATAAAGTGTAGATGCAGCGCTTTCATGGAATAATCATATAGATTATGTCTGCAATAAAGAACAGCAGTTTATTTATTTACTTCACAGTTTAAGATCTTTTGACGCCAATAATCAGATTTTATTGTTTTATTCTACAGTAATCCTAGTGTGACGCAGTGCTGTGCAACAGTGTGCTATAATTGTTTTTTGGTGAAATTAAGGACTAGATTGAGCGATACAAATTTGTTCCAAGATTGTAGGTCAATCCTTGGAGGATGGTTTTACAGCTTATAGGAAAAGTATGAAAAGATTAGCTTGTAGTATTTTGCCTAGTCTGTCACATGTGCTATATGGTAAATACAACATTTTGACTTCAGATAGATGTTACAGTGTACCAAAGTCAAGATCTAATAGGTTTACACACTTTTTATCCCTCGGTCAGTTGTGGTATTTAATCAAAAGCCGACTGTTTAGGTAAGTATGAATGCAGCATATAGACCTATGCTACATTAGGGGCAGTGGAAGGCATTGTGGAATTCTGAGATAGTATAAAGTGTTGTGGTTTTTTGCAAGGTGTGTTATGCGATTATCTGCGAAAGGTTTCCTGCCTTGTGAGTGTGGGTGTTATGTAATGGAGCCACTGTGATGCAAGACAAATTTCAGAGAAATCTGACAAGCGTAACGTATTGTGTCGTATCATAGTCAACACAACCCCTGGTTCCTATCACCACCACTGCAAGTGTGAATCTGCAAGTTTTCACACAGTGAACCATTTTACATCAAAGCCGTGTTTGCATCTGAGCAATTGAATTATGCAGAAATTTTTAAAAATCTGTGTATTTTCCCTTTAAGGCCGTTACACATTGAACGTGGCACAAATAAACCACAGTGGCTGTGTTTACATGCAAAGATTTTTGCCAGTCCAGTTGAATACATTCCGATTATAGCCTAAGACTGGGTGTTTATATGCTCACTCTACTTAACTATCTGAAGAAAAATCTCCATTTACATGCTCACTACAGGTAATCAGATCCAAAATTACGCGCATGCGTAGAGAACCGTTACCATGACAACGAGCATCACGTGAGTCCATTCAGAGTGAGACGAGCAGCAGTGAGCAGTGCTTGTGTTTTTAATTACTTTAAAATGATGTCAGACTCAGGAAAACGTCCTTCACATGTCCTTATTAAAGAAGGCCGAGAGGAAGACGTCGTGTTCTGAGACACATAAGCTGGACGTCCATCCCACCGCCGTCTTTTAAAGATCAGAGCATAAACTTCGTCTCCTCTGCAGACCAGTTTCTGCTCCACCATGTTGAATGTTATAAACTTTCACTATGATGTGACGCACATGTGCAGAACGGACTTAAACTTTCCAAAGGGGAATGTAATCAGATACAGGTGTTTACACGGATATTATTCTTCTATTTAACTGATTATTTACAGGATTACTCACCTCGTTCAATCAGATAGAAATTGTATGACGAATGGTCTCAATCGGAGTAGTCTACTCTAAATGAGGTGTTTACATGGACGTATTTTATTCCGATTGAGCAATTAGTCGGATTATTAACAGATTATCAGGCTGAATGTAAATGTGGCTAGTCACTGGTTGAGAGAGTTCGTGTCCCCTGCAAAAATTTATCAGAGGGCGAAGAAAATAGCATGACTTTTTTTGCCATCGTCTTGTTTATGTCTGACATATCATTAGTTTGAATTCATTTATTTACCAATCGCAAATTATGCATTATCATAAAATATCTGATCACTGCTGTATTTTAAAATCAAGTTTAATCGAGTAATCATCACAGCCTTAATCAATGCAGTACAGTGCATCTCCATTTCCTTCCATTGCTCACTCCCTCGCTCATGCACGCACTTACCTGACATCATCGCACTCACTCACAGCACAAATAGCAGCTCTTAGCAGCTCGATCAATCTTTGTAGGAAGAGGATGAAAGGAATTGAATTAAATCCTCATTGCAGCTATTAGAACAAAACATTAATGCTGATAACATTTGTCTGGAACAGGAGCCAGTATGCCAGAGTGATATAGCCCAGTAGGATGGAATTCTTCCTGATAATTGTCTGCTGATGTTTGTGGATCTTTTGCAGTAATAAGTATTTATCGGAAATAATATACTCTTTATGAGAAGTGATTGTTTTTGCCATCGATCCATATATGTCTTATTTTTCCTTTTCCAAACACGTCACATTTTTCAGAATAGTGCTATCTGGTCAAATTAGATTGTAATAGCCCTTCTGTAAACGCATAAAAGGATACAAACAATAAATTATACATGCAATTTTAATTTAAGCCGTGATACAGATTCAGGTTACTTCATGGTTGTAGATGCTCAAAAACCTTCCAGACTATAAGCATTATAAGAATTCACACAATTGTCTATAAACATTTCCAAAAACTTATGTGGTTTTCCTTCAGTTACAGATTGACTGGTTGACTTTACGAGTGTAGCTTGAGCCACTCTTCTTGCACTTTCTGTTTTTTTGCCATAATGACAGTATGGGACTTGTGAAAAAGGAAGATGTTGGAAAATCCCTCACATGTTCTATCCCATCATATTTTTCCCTAAAAATGCTGATGATATGACAAACAACTACACCCTATCAATGCCAACAGTGGCTTTTTGCTGCATGCAAGATGTATATAATTTAGAAAAAAACAACCTCAAATGTTATTTTGAGGAAACACATGAGCTGTAGTGCTACAGGTTGAATGGGATTTTGGCCAACCTTTAGTAAAGCTGTGAAATTGCTATGAAAGAGGGTATAGTATGAATTGGCCGGGTCAGTTGACCATTTTTGTATTTGCAGTGGTTAGTATTATTTCTTCATGGAAGAACATTTAAAATTTTTACTATGTAAGTGTGTGTGTGTGTGTGTGTGTGTGTGTGTGTGTGTGTGTGTGTGTGTTATGTAAAGAAGGACCTTTAAGGCATATTTAATATTTGAATTTGTAAAGCATTATTCAATATTCAAAAAGTATTTCAAATATATTCCCCTCATGCTGTTTAAGTAAGAACATATAACATTAGAGAGAAGCTACTTTGCTAATTTGCAGCGTCACTGTTTGTGTGCGATGACTTAAAACAATTAAACTTAGCTGTAGCCAAAATGTACAGGCCTAAGTTTAACTCATAGGAGTTTCTGTCTTATAGCCCACTAGCTAAGCTAAGTGCTGCTAACTAGAAGAGAGGAGCTGGCTAGCTTTCGCTTACAGATCCAAACACCACAGAACAGGTTTAATTTTTGTCTTTCTGTCACCTCATCACCAGCTGTTCCACTTTGCTTCCTCAAATTTGCACTACTGTCGCCTCAAATTGCGTCAGTGTAGCTTCTGTTACCGAGAATCTTACCTGTTCTGTGATCAGCAGAGCTGTTAGCATGCTAAGCTAATGCTAAACAGCTTCTCTCTAGTTAGCACTTAGATTGATGTTCGATCTTTATTGAATGATGGATTATAAATAGCTCATTTCATTTATTTGGCAACCATGTAAGCAAGCTGAACCAAGCGCTGTGGCCCTGAGCAGGGGTAGGTAATTTTGCTGAGCACTGTTAGTGACCGTAGAACCATGTCCGTGTGGAAATGCCACTAGAATTGTCCCTCTCCGTGACCGGAACCGTTCATCCCTACAGTGGAAAAGAGGCCTTTGTTTGTATCTCATGATCACAGTGAGATTTTTGGTTCTGAGGGCTGTTTTTTGTAGCTCAAACCCTTTTTGCCTTATCACCAAATGTGTGCACTCTCATGACAAAAGACAAGAAATTCTGTAAAAGACTGGTGTTTAGTGTGTAACGTGCCCTGTTTTTTAAATTCTGTTGGGATTTTGAAAGTCATGTAGTGCACGCCCAGCTGTGGAATGTGCTGATTGCTTCAGCTGTGCGTCATTTGTGTGGACAAATCTGTGCTGTTTCTCATTAGTGAAGCCTTTCCTGAGAGGCAGAAACACAGAACCTCATGCACATTCACACATTCACTCAGCCTGCCATTAACATTTGCATACTAAGGCCTCAGGCTTGGCCTATAAATCTCACACCAGTGCAATATTTCGTGTGCCAGTGCAGGATTCTGTACAGTGCTGTTTGTTTCACGGTGATTAAAGCTTGGTCACGCTGGTTTCATTGGCTTTTAAAACCTCTCAGCCACAGCCTAGATTACTTTGACACTCTGTTGTAAGTTAAGATGAACCTCAGATGTCTACAACAGCGTAACTCCTTTTGGCCATTGTGCTGTGACAATGACTAATGAAGGCTAACGTGCAATCAGTAGACATGGAAACAGTGACCTGTTAGAGCTAGCAGGTGACCGAGCTAATATTTACTTACTGCCCACACTAAGAGTTTATCTTTCATCTGAGGGGTTAAGACACAATGACTGAATCATAAATGCATTCTCAGCTTTTATATAGAGCAGTTTTTGCCTTTTTGGAGTGGGGCTGTCACAATTACACAATTAAAAAAAAGTAAATAAATTAAAATGGACCTTCTTGAGGGATCAGTAGTGATTAGATGGCAGTTTGTATGATAATGTATATTTTAAATTTTTTTACTGCTCTCTCAGTAAGACGCAGAGCATATAATATGCATGGGTGCATATAATTATAAATTATAAATGATATTATCATTATTAAATTACATAAATTAAATGTATTATTATTATTATTATTATTATCATTATTATTATTATTATTAGTAGTAGTAGTAGTAGTAGTAGTAGTATTGATTTGCATTATTATTATTATTATTATTATTATTAATTATAATAATAATAAAAATAAAAATAACAGCAATAATAATGTTTGCCACAGTGTCCATATTAATGTTTAAATGTTTTAAAGTCTTCCTAATTTGTCTGCTTGTACAGCTATACATGGTTTGCTGTTGTCCTTTTAATTATTTTAACACTCTGATTACTCAATTGTTTGTCTAAATAATCAGTAAATTACACCATTACTAATGTAATCTATAGTGACAGTCCTAAATTAAAATCAGCGAGTAGTCCAGAGTCTAAGTAGATGCAGGTGCACTAAACAAAGGAATGTTTAGGTGTTTTCAAACTTATGGCAGTGAATCAGTTTACATACGTGATTCTTCTTCAGATCCTGCTTCATTTCACATCTGTAAAGGTTTAATGATTTACCAAAAGTGGTATTTAAAATACTCCCAGTTCTACAAAATACAAGGATACAAGTTCTGTGTTCTTGCTATGCTGTAACCTGGAAATCATGGCTTGTATATCAGTTTTCCCTTTGTAATACTCAGCGTATCGAATAAACAGCTGATAATTGTTTGCAATGTAGCGACGCTAAGCATTATTTCTTTCTGTTTTCTTTCAGAGACAAAAGAAGAGCTTGAGCAACTAACCATTGAAATCAAGAAAAATGCCAATGTGGTGCGGACCAAACTCAAAAGTGAGTTGCAACATCTGTGTGGAAACGATCCAGTGGGAGGGAAAGCTGGGATATGGCATTTGCTCAGGACCATCCATGTACAGTTTTAATGGCATAATGAATGACCATGTGGATTCAGTTATATGTGTATTGACGTGTTAACAAGGTTTATACAATCATTTAACTGATGCGTTTCAGTACATTAAACAACTAGAGTGACCGTCCTCCTTGAGCAGCTTGGGGTTTAGTGCCATGCTTATGGGCACAATGGCAGTAGCTGTTACCTGGGTCAAACTATGGGTCCATAATGCTGGTAGGCGATATATTATCCGCCAATAAATGAGACTATTCATTTATTACCTTTTAGTTGGACACTGGAATTAAAAACAGTAATTACAGTTAAAAACTTGGTGCCCTGCTTTTCTTACCAGCACATGTAACGGACAGCATAGTGGATATCATCATTGCCATAAGGGTCATTAGAGTCCTTGTGCGTGACTCCTATCAGTACATTCATGTATCATTGTCACTTGGTCTAACTGTGAGATTTTAATGTGAGCTCTTTAAAAATGCAAAACAAGTTAGTTATAGATACTGACCACAGCAAGGTGTTAATTATGGTCCAGTTTCCCACTCTCGTCAGTTGCAGCCAAAAGCTCAGACTTTTGAGCTGCCATTGAGATGCTGATGAAAGCCCCATGAGAATCTCACACGGCAGTCTTTCTGCAAAGCACAACTGAGCTCGACCAATGAGACCTGGGCTACAGTCCCAGTGGTGCAGCAGTGGCCCACAGAGAGTTGAGAGAAGGTGGGCAAAGCTTCTCTGTTCTGAAATATATGTAAGCAGTGTAACAACCCATTTTGTTGTAGGTAGGTTGACATAGTTTGTTAGCTTCCAGTGTATTGAGCTGAATATTTGGATGCCAACAAGGTTACTGTTGTTTTAGCTATATCTACCACAGCATATTGCTGTTGAAATTAAATAATGAAAACAGTGAGTGCATGATTTCAGCTTTAATTTGAGAGTATTTTACATCCAAATCAGGTGAAGGAATACCAGCCATTTACATACATACCCCCCAAAGTAATTAAACTAACATAATCATTAATTAAATTGTCATTTTTTGCATTCAGTGACCACCTGACACTGGATTTCTTTCTTGCCTTTACTGTTCCTGCTTGTTCTTGCAGTATTTTACCTTTAGTTTTGCCTTCAGTGAGTGAAATGAATGCTTAATGGGATTGAGGTCAGGTGATTGACATTGCAGAACATTGCAAAACTTTCCACTTCTTTACTTTGAAAAAGTCTTGAGTTGCTTTTGTCAGGTCATTGTTCATCATTGGCTGAAATTGGACAGTTAATACAGCCCTACACGCTTCAGTATTCATACTGCTGCTTTTTCAGCAGTCACATCATCAATAAATAGGGAACCAGTTCCATTCGCAGCCATACATGCCTATGCCATAACACTACTTCCGCCATGCTTGGCCAGTATGTGGTATGTGGTAAGTGGTATGCAAGGGGTCACGAGCAGTTTTCCCTTCTCCATACTCTTCTTTTCCCATCTTTCTGCTATCATTTCATTTTTGTTTTATCTTTGTATAAGATGTTGTTCCAGAACTGTCCAGGCTTTTTGAGACAATTGTTGGGCAAATTCTAATCTGGTCTTCCTTTTTAGAGGTTCAACAACTGCTTACAATGTGTGGTAAACCCTCAGTATTTACTCTGGTGAAGTCATCTGTTGTTTATTGAATATGACTCAGATGTAAGTGTGTTCTTGATCTGGACAACTATTGTGAAGCTGTTTTTTCAGCAGGCAACACATTTGTTTTCCATGGTCTTTTGTTGTTTCTGAGCTCATGTGTGCATTGTTGTTGTTGTGTTGTTTTTTTTTGTTTGTTTGTTTTTTTGAATGCACCAAATAGTTGTTTGGCCATGTTTTTGTTATCTCACAAATGGGTTTGTTTTGATTTTTCAGCTTAACTATTTAACTGGTGATGTCAAGAGCATAAACATAGGTTTTTTTTTTTTTAGTTCACCTTTTGTTCTGTGCAAATTGTGACATGACAATAAATCAAATGTCATTTAATGTAACTGTCCCTCTCCCTCTCTTTCTCTCTCCCCTCAGCCATGCAGCAGAGTCTTCCTCCAGAAGATCAAGCCAGTCGGGCCTCGGTGGACTTTCGCATCCAGAGAACACAGGTTGATCTTTTACCCTCTTCTCCTCAGCTCTGTGATTCAGCAGGTGTCTTTGGCATGTTCAGCCCAGAGGAACTCCAGCTAATTTATTTTAGAGTGTCCCAGATTTTAAATCCGTGTAATACAGGCTTGATTTGTGTCCTGTTTATTTTATGGGGAAGCAGTTCAGGCTGATTGAATTGTGTGTTTGCTCTCTCTCTCTTTCTGCAGTACACTGTTTTGTCTCGAAAGTTTGTGGATGTGATGACCCAATACAACGAGACCCAAGTGTCTTTCAGAGAACGGAGCAAGAGCAGAATCCAGAGACAGCTGGAGATCAGTGAGATACCTTTGATCACTCTTACAGTTAGGGGTGGGCAATATGGGAAAGCTGTAACATTGCGATACTTGAAGATGTTCATGATACACCATATTTATCACAATATACTGTCGTTTAAAGGAAGCTGTATAACAATGAAGAAAAGTTAGATGCGTCCAGAATGCTGACCTGATCTGTAGATGATTCTAAGATGACTGAAAAAGCTGTGTAACATAAAGAGTGAAATCTGGAGTTCATCATATTCAGCATATATTTGAAAAGTAGTGATCAAAACTTGACAAAGTTATTGTACATGGATAATTAAGGATATAATTTACAGCACATCATGATCCTTTAAATACTGAATAAAGCATCTGAAAATGTTTTGATGTCTAGTTTATAAGATTTAAATATACATTGTGTAAGTTATTATTGTATATTAAAATAACAACATTTATTAATATATAAAGTACTTTGTTTTTCTGCTTTTCGGAGGATAAAATGCACCAACAAATCAAACAAAAATCAAACAATTAGTAACAAATGAATAAATGAGAGGTCTAACATTCAATCAGCTTAAATATTTCAGTTTTAATTTGAATGTGGTACCACTGGTTGTTGTTTCCAGGCTCTCCTGGTCTACATCTCTGTGTTTTTTAAGGAGCATGCAGTTATGCAGTGCTGTAGAAGTGCTATGATACTTGAAATATAGTCAGGAAAATGTTTTTGGAGGTAGTTTATTATGAGAACAATGAAATCTCATCATATTGCTCACTACTAAGCTCACTTTTACTTCCCTTATACATCATGAATTCTACTGCATGCATATACTTGTAAGTCACTTCACCTCAGCCTAGACAGTGTCTGTGTCTGTGGTGCACTCACTCTCATGCATGCACACACTCGCCTCTCCTTCTAGATCGTATCTTCCAGCACATGTGTGTACTTGAAGTGCTACTGAACTATTTAGCACACAGGCAAATACATACATACTCTGATGGCCGTCAGACACCAGCATAAAGGAAAAGCAGAGCGTGACTCTGTGAGTAAAGTAGGGATAGGCATTTCAGTCAAATGCCCCCCATTCCCGCAAAACCAAAAAACACAGGCTACCGCAATGAGTTAGTTAGCTGATACCAAACATAATAAATTCTCTACATTATACTGAAAGTTAGATTCCGTTACATTTGTATGAGTACAGGGCACATTGAACTTTCTGCTATGCTTTCTACGTGCTGTAGCTGTACTGTGTATATCCGCTATGCAGTGCGGCGCTTCTCGTTTAAGCACAGAAGACTTTAGACGGCTGCAGTAGTTTTGCTGTGCTTCCTTCTTTGGACTTAAGGACGCAGACTCTTCATTGCCCTCTGGTGGAGCATACAGTACATCACATGTTTCTTAAATATGGAAATATGTAACATTAGAAAGAATTTCTTTTTCATTTTATTATTATTATTTTTTTTTACACTTTTCCTGCTAAAATTCAGAGTGCAGTGAACGTATGTATAAACTGAAAAAAGTCTGTAACTGGCATGGTTAATGGCAGGGTGAACAATACTTAGCCAAGCAGCTAATTCCACTACCTAATATATGTATCAACGATACATGATTATTAGCTGGTACTTAATAACTCGACTACAAAAGAGTCCAGATGGAAGGGGTTGTAGACCCCAGCCTGTGTTACTATTGAGGCAGTAAAGTTACCATAATCAGTCATAAATTATTAACGAGGTTCCTCAACTCATGTCAAACACTAATTTCAGATGAGTTTGATGATTAACAAAGGCCACATTGTAACAAGTACAATGTCGTTGATTTGTGGGGATTTCCTCACTTGAATTATTTGACAGTGTGCTAGTAAATCTCAATTAGAAGAAAATAAAAGTACTTGTTGAGCTTGCAGGTGTGGGTGTTGCCCTCTAAACGGGGGCTCTGTGTGAGTGAGAGTGTGTGTGTCCCCTGAGGCCAGTAGCTAATGAGGTCTTCGTTCTCCACTGACACATGAGACGACCGGCTCCGTCACCAGAGACTCTGTTGTAGCCGTTTCCGGGGTAACGTGTGAGCAGAGAGCCAGGTACACCTCAGCACAATGGGCCAAGGGCAGCATGTCATGTGATTAGGTCTATGTTTATGCTTAGGATCATGTGATTAAGTGTCTGCGAATGGGTTTGTCAGTGGTAAGTCATGTAATTCTGTTGTAGCCTCATTACTGCAAACTTGGAGACGTCTGTCTCATTGTCCACCTCCTTATTGGCCGTGTAGATCATCTGCCGCTGAACAGTTTTAGGCCCCCCCCCCTCACGCGTCCGTGTCCATTTATGGAAAGAGTGACCAGATATTATTATTATTATTATTATTATTATTATTATTATCATTATTTTCAACATAGCAGTAACACTAACACAGTAGTGAGAGTGGTGCTGGTATGAGTGGCTCAGATACTACAGTGTTGCTGGAGTTTTTACTCACTGTACACTGCCTGGACTCTTTAACAGAAACCCTTTCCTTGTAGCTCTGCCTCACTGGTGTGCAGTTAGAGACTGTAGACTGAGAAGGTTGAGGATAAAAGTAGAAGAATGTGAATGAGATGGATGAAACTTGGAATAGGATAAGCAGAGCTAGTGGAAATTTTAAGAGGCCATATCCTGTGGGTACCTCTTTAGGTACATTTATGCATTTGTGTGGTTTTTCTGTTCCCAAAATCGCTGTGATATATTTTCCAAACTCTCCGTTTACGTGTTGGCGTTGAGAAAAAAAAACCCTCATCCTATTCCTCCTAAGCGCTACACAACCGGTGGCAGCATGAAGCCATGCAAACATTGCTGTGGTGACAGCATCATTGGCGAACGTTTGTTTATAAGAGGAGAGTTTTAGCTGTGTATACTGTTTAGGTGGAAAGGTGGAAATTCCATCGCTGTGGTTGATGGGAAAAATTGGGAAAATTAAATTCTTGACAGAACGTTCTGGCTGCTGGTGCGCTGCTCTTGCAGCCGGCAGTGGCAGATTTATCCATCGCAGCTCCATTGGAAACAACAGAAAATTCAGTTTACCGACGACCGCTTACCAACTTGTAAACACAGCTTTAGAATTAAACAGGCTGTTTTTCTTACTTTGCCTTTAAGACTGATTGGTCTCGTGAGGCCAGTTGTGATCTCGTAGCGAGAGTACACGTCTGGGGACCATTTGTTAAACTGTTGATGCTGGAAATCCTCCACAACCAGGGTACGCCACTTCTAAAACCCGCCCTGAATTCCTCTAATCTGTGTAAGGGAAATGTTTATTTGTGCCGCATATGTCTTCACATGCGATTTACATCTGTATGCTTAATTGGGGTTTTTGGGGGGACTTTTCAGCCATGCTAATTTACCAACAACAGGCTTGTCCATCAAGCAGTGTTGATGAGCGCACCATTCGCCCTTACTCTGAAGCCCATCTTCACAGGGCATTGGATTAGTTTAGAAATATCACACTCAGTTTGTTCCCGACCTAATAAGTCTGTGCTCAGATCCACATTTACCCCAACATTTTCAGGGCTGTCCCCAGATGTTCTCGTTAGGAGATCTAGACTAGATTGATAAATGTCAGTGACCTCTGCTCCAGTCAGCTGCCGTATATAGTGGATCATTCATAAAGTAGCCCAAACAAAAAACTCTACTTATAACTTCAGGGTGAAAAGGCAGATCCAGGACCATTTCTGGTCATTTGCAGGTCCTGAGTGACATCCTACTTCAGGGCTCCCATCCAGCTCCATCTGTTATTATTTTGCATGTATTTTGCATTTGTTCATTTTCATCAAGAAGAAATGCAAAATAAATAGGTAAAAAAGGTAAACACAATAAAACATTATTTAACTATATGCAAGGGATATGGAATAAATTAATTATTACAAATTACAATTTCGTTCATGACTCCTATATTTAAAATGGGCTGTTTTGGCAGCTTAGTGTCCATGTATTGCCTTTATTTACTGGAGAGTGAATTGCATGTTTTTAAATTGTTACATGGTACATTAAACTGTCACAGGGAGAAAGTTTAAGGTCCCTCTTCTCTCAATATCCTCTAAAGAGGACATCTACATTAGTTATTTACAGACAGGATTACGTGTATATAAATAAACATGCTGTGAGTTACATGGTCCCTCAACTCATCCCTCCTTTTCTCTCTCCAGATACTATAAACATAGGCACAATCCAGTGGGAGCAGCTGGGCTATTCTACATTAATGTGTTTTATTTGGACTGTCTTGTGTTCAGGGCTGTCGTGATTATTTGTTTAAACTTGGCTGAATAAAAAATCATTAATTAAAGTCAGTGTTTCCCACTGGATTTTGTGAGACTATGGTGGGCAGACCTATGGTGGGAGGGTTGAAGGGTTAACGCTTCCCTGGAAGAAGATGTTATATATTCTAAATCTGGTACATCAATCTGGTGCACTTTGAGAGCAAAAATAAAAGGTTAGATCTATGAAGAACTTAGTGCTCAAAGCAATTTTGTGCTTCAGTAGTTTAATCGTAAACACACTGGGTGTATGGGTGTGGATGGTGAAGACACAGCAAAAAGAAACACCCACAAAACATGGTGACAGAGTTTAACAGTTCACAAATGGTCAAAACAAAAAAACTAGAAATGAAGCGGAACTGGTAACCCGTGTTTAACTGGTTTATTTTTATAGAAAATACAAACTACTGAATAGAGAATATACAGAATTGATATACAAACTACTTTCATAATTAATTTTAGCCAAAAATAGACCTGTTTCCACCCAGATGTCCACAATTTCTTATTACGATAAATAGTACAAATACATAAAAGTCCATATTTACCTTTTCTCACACTGTTTTAAAGCGTGGAGACCAGAGTCGGACACACTGACGTTAATGGGCGTCATGCACCAACCATTCTTAGGAAGAAATTTCCTCTTTAAACTTACTTTATGAAATGTAAGTCTGATCTTATTTGAGATTTATTCTTAGGTAAGAACAGAATCTGCGCACATTCAAGAGCACAAAGGAGTGAACAGCTCTGTGGTTTAAGAACGTGTCGTGAATCTGACGTAGAGTTTTTCTTTGGACCTTTCTCAAGAACAAATTTGAGAAAGCACTTTGGGCCTCATTCACCAAGATCTTCCAATGTTCCCTAACTAAGCTAAAGTTAGACTGATGGTAATTATCAATGATAACTGCTGCATTGTGTTTGGACTAGTGGATAACTGCACTGGATACTGTGAAGTTAATATTACTTGCCTCAAATCAAACATCAAACGCTGGTATGTCCTCAAAATGCCTCATGTCTCGGATGCAGCCAGGTGACAAGGCAGTCCAGTGCGTGCGTGTGTGTTTGTGAGCACGGGGGAGGGTAGGGGAGGGGGGCTGACTGGTAGTGAGATGCTTTGCAGAAACAACGGCACAAAACAGCGTTGTTTGTTATTATGAGAAGATATCTTTGCTTCATTATGAAGCTTTGTGTGGGACAGATTAGACTGTGGCCGGTATTTATTGGGAAACACTGAAAGTTAACCTTCTGAATGAGCTGCCTGTTTATATCTGACACATACACTGCTCAAAAAAATAAAGGGAACACTCAAATAACACATCCTAGATCTGAATGAATGAAATATTCTCATTGAATACTTTGTTCTGTACAAAGTTGAATGTGCTGACAACAAAATCACACAAAAATCATCAATGGAAATCAAATTTATTAACCAATGGAGGCCTGGATTTGGAGTCACACACAAAATTAAAGTGGAAAAACACACTACAGGCTGATCCAACTTTGATGTAATGTCCTTAAAACAAGTCAAAATGAGGCTCAGTATTGTGTGTGGCCTCCACGTGCCTGTATGACCTCCCTACAACGCCTGGGCATGCTCCTGATGAGGTGGCGGATGGTCTCCTGAGGGATCTCCTCCCAGACCTGGACTAAAGCATCCGCCAACTCCTGGACAGTCTGTGGTGCAACGTGATGTTGGTGGATGGAGCGAGACATGATGTCCTAGATGTGTTTAATCGGATTCAGGTCTGGGGAACGGGCAGGCCAGTCCATAGCTTCAATGCCTTCATCTTGCAGGAACTGCTGACACACTCCAGCCACATGAGGTCTAGCATTGTCCTACATTAGGAGGAACCCAGGGCCAACCGCACCAGCATATGGTCTCACAAGGGGTCTGAGAATCTCATCTCGGTACCTAATGGCAGTCAGGCTACCTCTGGCGAGCACATGGAGGGCTGTGCGGCCCTCCAAAGAAATGCCACCCCACACCCACTGCCAAACCGGTCATGCTGAAGGATGTTGCAGGCAGCAGATCGCTCTCCACAGCGTCTCCAGACTCTGTCACGTCTGTCACATGTGCTCAGTGTGAACCTGCTTTCATCTGTGAAGAGCACAGTGCACCAGTGGCGAATTTGCCAATCCTGGTGTTCTCTGGCAAATGCCAAGCATCCTGCACGGTGTTGGGCTGTGAGCACAACCCCCATCTGTGGACGTCGGGCCCTCATACCATCCTCATGGAGTCGGTTTCTAACCGTTTGTGCGGACACATGCACATTTGTGGCCTGCTGGAGATCATTTTGCAGGGCTCTGGCAGTGCTCCTCCTGTTCCTCCTTGCATAAAGGCGGAGGTAGCGGTCCTGCTGCTGGGTTGTTGCCCTCCTACGGCCTCCTCCACGTCTCCTGGTGTACTGGCCTGTCTCCTGGTAGCGCCTCCAGGCTCTGGACACTACGCTGACAGACACAGCAAACCTTCTTGCCACAGCTCACATTGATGTGCCATCCTGGATGAGCTGCACTACCTGAGCCACTTGTGTGGGTTGTAGAGTCCGTCTCATGCTACCACGAGTGTGAAAGCAACACCAACATTCAAAAGTGACCAAAACATCAGCCAGAAAGCATAGGTACTGAGAAGTGGTCTGTGGTCCCCACCTGCAGAACCACTCCTTTATTGAGTGTGTCTTGCTAATCGCCAATGATTTCCACCTGTTGTCCATTCCATTTGCACAACAGCATGTGAAATTGATTGTCAATCAGTGTTGCTTCCTAAGTGGACAGTCTGATTCCACAGAAGTTTAATTTACTTGGAGTTATATTGTGTTGTTTAAGTGTTCCCTTTATTTTTTTGAGCAGTGTATAATTGTACAGAAATAAAAAAAAACTGATTTAATGATAAAATGTTATTTTTTAAAACAGTAATAAATAAGCTTTTAACTGTGAAAATTGTCTTAGAATTGTGTTGGTGCCTAAAGCGTTAATGAAAAGCGAAGCTTCGGGATACTAAATGGGGAAAACCAGCATAACAAACAAATACTCAAGGATTTCTAGTTATTCGGGCCCTAATTGAGGGTTGTGGTAGGATTTATTGTGTTTTCAAACTGTAAGAGTTGTGTAAAAAGACCAAAGATTTAACCTCCTTTAATGACACACAGACTACTCTGCATCTGATTCACGAAACTTTCTTATGATGTAGAAGCAAACAGAGTACGCTCTAACTCATACAAATGTTTCAGTAGGGAGCCAATAAAACAGCATGTAGCGGCTCGGAGCCAGTGGCTGAGTTTGAGGACTGCAATGCTCTCCCTACTGACCAAACTTAATAGTGTTAAAATTACGACGACTGGAAAGAATAAATTGTCTTAGTTTTTTAAGGCAGTAAAATGTTACTGTAGTGTGATTATTTCCCTAAATTAACATATTTAAATGCTGTATTATTGCAGTGTGTGAGATGATTCTGAATGAGCTGTTTTGTATTGTTCATTTTTTGGGCGGAGTCAGTAGTATAAAACAAAAGCACAGTGTAATATGTCTCTAAATGGAGCATGGAATAGTTGCAGCATTTGTTTACACCAGTGTGCATGTAAAATAAGTACATCCACTTTTACACTGAATTGCTATGTTAGTTAACCAAATCAAACAGTTCTGTTGTTTAGTTGTTAAACTATTTCGCTTTAGTGTACAGAAACTCCTCCAGATGTTTGATCATACGGATACACAAAAGATGAAACTGATGAATAACAAAACTTAAGCGAAATAAAAATTCACTTGCACTCCTTTACGATCAGATTTGACCGCACGCAACTTCGATGAATAAGGGCCAGAAAACCCTCCGCATCATTTGCGTTTGAGTTTGTGTGCTTGAGTGCTCTCCTTGACTCGCTCTCTCAGCTGAATCAACACAGGCCCTGCAGTGTAGTGAGACTGCTCTCTGTCTTTCGCTCACACTGAAATGGATATGAACTCCAGGGATGCACCACACCTTCACCTAAACATTTAGCGAAGGTCACAGTACTTCCTTTCGTTATGAAATTCTTGTGTTTGTAAACATTAGCGTTTATTTATATGCATGATAAATAGATGTCTTTGTGTGTGATCCTGCAGCTGGAAGACTGACCACAAATGAGGAACTGGAGGACATGCTGGAGAGCGGGAACCCATCCATTTTTACATCCGATGTGAGTTTGATTCGCTGCGTGTTGACCAGAATCACTACAAAGCTGCACTAAAGAGTTACTGAAATCTTCATTTTTACATTCACTTTTACAACAAATAATAGAATACATATTTAATTTTACATTATTATAATAAAATCCCCAAATAGTGCAATAATCAAATACCTATTTAGTTTCACAATAAAACGATGGAATCCCCCATTCAATTTTACAATGTAATAATAGAGTCCTCATTTAATTTTACATTATATTAATAGAATTCTCAATTTTACAGTTAAGCAATAGAACACGCGAGGGAGTGTGTCAATGCGAAGTAACGCCTTTCGCCTTCACTTCATGCCTGCGACCAAATCACAGGCTTGATGTTATTCGCAAAAGCACACAACCTCTGTGTTCTATTGCTTTTATACAACAGTTAAATAAATAAAGTAAGAAATAAATAAAGTAATAAATTAATAAACTGGGCCGTGAACGCGGCATTTAATATGTTTTAACCTTAGCAGTTCCTTCCGCCAAATTATAGTTCCTTAACAAGCAGCTTGTTGCTCCATCAGAGTAACGAGCTCCGCTCACTGCTGCACAGCCGGGAGTTCGTTCTCCAGCTCCTTACACTAAATTCCGAAACTGTCATCACCACTGAGCAGCTTTTCAGTCGGCAGCTGTGACAGAAGAACAGCTAAACAACCTGGAATCAGCCAGAAATGAACCAAATACCATTCGCCAAATGTGTAGTCTGATCTTCAGAGTCTAACCAAATCGGACTGAGACATAAAACTGCAGCAATATGAAGTTTAGCTCAGTTGTGTCAGTTTTTGCTGGATCAATATTAATGTTGTTTTGTTCCAACCAGTCTGTAAAGCATCTTACAGCCCATTTTGTTTGGCGAAACAAAGATAAGTGTTTCTCAGTGGTGGTTAGAGTAAAAGTTCAACAACTTTTCCTCTAACCACCGCAATCTTTTATCTCTCCTTTCAGTGAAATGACTGCTGCAATCAAACAGTTATTCACATAGCGCTTGTCATGCAAATGTTGGAATGCAAAGTGCTGTACAGACTGACACAGTTAAAGTAAATAGGAAAAGAACAATATGAAAAGGCCTGGATACCAACAGAATTAAGATTTTTTTTTTTTTGCCTATAGTGGGTGCTAATATAGATATCTGCTTGCTGAACGAGGTTTTCTCTGTCCTCAGATCATCTCCGACTCTCAAATCACACGGCAGGCTCTGAATGAGATCGAGTCCCGACATAAAGACATCATGCGGCTAGAGTCCAGCATCAAAGAGCTTCATGAGATGTTTATGGACATGGCCATGCTGGTGGAGACGCAGGTACAGCACTGTGCACCTCCCTCGTCTAGAAAACGGACCCTTTATACCTGGTTGACCATGAAGAACTGAATAGTCAAAGAATGGAAAATCATAAAGGATGAAAGAGTTCATTATGCAAGGCCAGATGATTTTGAAATTTTATATTGTGTATATAGCTATACAGCTGTGTGTGTGTGTGTGTGTGTGTGTGTGTGTGTATTCTTAATGCACATTGAGGTATTGAAAAGGTGAAGCGAGGGACTGTTCTGTAACTGAAATGCCTGTGTTCATGCCTTTCCAGGGTGAGATGGTTGACAACATCGAGAAAAACGTGAGTAATGCAGTGGAGTACGTAGCCAAAGCCAACGAAGAGTGCAAGAAAGCTGTGAGGTACCAGAAGAGAGCCCGCAGGGTACGAAAACACACAAACTCGCGCTTCACCTCACAGCGCTTACTGCTTATCTCACATCATACAGGTTTAAACAGGCCTAAACGCGCCCAGAGTCTCGCTTTCATTTTGGCAGTAACTCTTTAACCTGCACGCAGCTTTTGGCTTTTTTCTTTTTTTTGTTTTTTGTTTTAAAACTACCTCACCAAAGTGGTTCCCAACCCTGATCCTGCTAAATATGTAAATATAACTGACCTGTAGTAGCCCTGTCCTGCACAATTTAGTGTTTTTTGCCTTCAGAAAGGGCCATTAATTACAGGGTTCCTGTGATGGTTAGGAAGTCTTAAATTAAAGAGCATACAAGCCCTTCTTCAGAAGTCAGTTTCTGACCACAGGGTCACTGGTGCCTGAAGATATATGTATATTGTCGCTGTCCAAAGAAAAACAAGTATCTATAAAATAGTAACTTTACAGGAGAGGGCAAAAACGTTATTTACTTTCAATTGAAGGTAATGGAAAAAGACTTTATTCTAAGCAATTTTGGAGCATTTTTATCAGTCCAATCATTATGAAATTTCACACAATGTAAAGGACAGTTGCTGAGCTCAAATGATACAGAAAAGTGAAAATCGCAAAAAATGGAGATACATGTTTTTCATTGGACAGCGGCGATATGTATGTATTTGTGTATATGTATATTTCCAGGCAGCAGTGGCCCTGTGGTCAGAAACTGACCTCTGATAAAGGGCTTGTGGACAGCAAAACTGACAACAAGGTCAAAGACATGCATATTTCAGAATCCATATTTGATATTCAACTAGTGTTACTTAATAAAATAGACATTAATATGTGCCATATTTGAATTTCTGTGCAGAGGGATTCCAGGTGAGCAATATGACAATAATATAGTTACCATAATGAATCAAGTCACAATAAGCTTTTCTGATTATAACATCATTACTTAAATAACAGTGATCCACTCCATGTTTCTTTGCAAAGAGATTCAGAAGTGGCGTTGCTGTCTGTCACCCAGACAATGCTGAATATTTTGCATTTAGCCTATTACAGAAACAAAACCTCTTTTGTGATATATATAAATTTTGTAATGTTGTTATTGCCATAATGCCCATTTCTACTCCAGGATCAAGGTTGAGAACCATTCCTTTATCGTATTGTATGTATGGCCTACAACAGGGGGGTTTCAGTCCCCAGCCAGACTACTTCTTGCCTGAGCCAGGTAATCTTCATGGAGGTTTTCTAAGGCCTGGAAAGAGTCATTAGCCTTAGCACCTATCAGATATGGCTTAGATGGGTATGGGTATTGGTAGCCAGATATCAACAGAAAACGCAGCATTAGATACAAAATTAGTGACTGAATTGTCATTTGAGGAAGAAATTTAATTAAGAAAAATAAGAAAATGGAAAGACATGCTTTTGGTATCAGGTAGGACTTAAACTGTTTGGCCACTAGAGGTCACCAGGTACCCCCAGACCCTCTGTAATTATGAGTTACATACCGTCTGTGTCTCACAAAAAACTCGTATCTCCAATAGTTTTCAGTGTAAGTCGGCAGCTATGACTCCATCCAAACTTTTTTGTTGGTTTGTTTGTTTGTTTTTTTTATGTTTTCCGAATATTCACAAAATTTTTTCCCTTTAAGCTATAGCGGAAAAATTCGAAAACAGATTCTGTGACAGACTTCCCTAATTATATAGCACAGAAACATGACCTCTCATTTTGATAGAAACAACTTATGTAATAAAAAATAACCAAATGTCTTTATCTGTAGGTTATGGGGGAGTTAGGGAGGCCAGAGGTACACAGGTTGCAACATAAATTAAATTAGAGACACAAATATGTCGAATACAGTTTATTTTTTATCAACAAATGAAGACTGCACAACAGTTTTCTTGCAGGAAATGACATTGCTTGAAATATTTCAGCCTGTTTCACTGAAGGAAACACACACACACACACCATCTAAACCGCTCATCCTTCTGGGTCGCGTTGGGATGCTGGAGCCTATCCCAGCTGTCATTGGACGGAAGGCAGGAAACACCCTGGACAGGTCGCCCGTCCATCGCAGGGCAGACAGACAGACAGACACACACATTCACACCTAGGGGCAATTTAGCATGTCCAGTTGGCCTGACTGCATGTCTTTGGACTGTGGGAGGAAACCCACACGCACAGGGAGAACATGCAAACTCCACACACTCCACACTCTGGTCGCCCAGCCAGGAATCGAACCCTTCTTGCTGTGAGGCAACAGCGCTACCCAGTACCCAGTTTTTTGAAGACCTTTTTATTTTGTCACTTACATTTTGTGCTGAAAGTAGATGCTACCATGAGATAGTTTGTGGCCATTTCTGTTGGTCCATTATTGTGAAATGTTCACACAATATGAAAGGCAGGTTTTATGTAAGTTTTTTTATGCAAGGTGACATCAGGTTTTATGTGACGAATTAAAAAGCTACAAAGATGGAGATTTTGTTCTGAAGTGACGATATGCTGTTTACCTGGCTCAGGTGTGTTAACGCTGGGGTGAGTGCTAACTTTTTCTTCTGTGTTCTGGACAGAAATATATCATTTTGGCTCTGATTGCATTGGTGATATTTGCTGTGCTTGCACTAATCGTGGGCCTGTCTGTGGGCCTGTCGGCAAAATCCACTAAAACCCCCGCCTCCTCCACCACCACCGCAGCCAATCCCGCATAAGCATGCTGCCTCCAGTAACACCCCTGACCAATCACAGAGCAGGTACTGTCATGTAAGCACGACCACAAACTCAGGGCTGGTGCTGGGTGGATAAATGATGTTTTAACTTATTGTCTTCTGTTGTTGTTTTTTCTTCTTCTCTCTCTCCTCAGAAAAGGGTGTTTCTTGCCATCTGTGTAGCAGTGTGTGCTGTCATTGTTCTCCTCATCATCGTTGGAGTCTTTGCTAATTAGTCAAGGATCCACAACCAAAGAACACGCTCTTCAAAGCTGCTTCTGTCAGACTGTAAGCTCTGTTTAAAAGAACACTCCAGTATTTTTAACCAAATCTCTGTCTGCCACATACAGTCGATTACTACAGACAGCAGTTCTGATGTGTGCTCGGCACAGTGGAAGAAAACAGCGCCATCTGTAGCACACAGCATGCAACAGTTTTAACAACCCCGAGCGAAATACATGTTTTGTTGATTCAAATGAAAATGAGAACGCATCGTTTACAGAGAACACACTTTCTTGCTAATTTTAGTGCACAATTTCTATTAGTTTGCTGAGTTTAACATATTGGGGGATATAACAACATAAAACACGCCATAATTTTTGCACAGGTCACATTTTATATTTTAATTTTTTCCCCCAACATGTTAATTTCAGCAAATAAACAGTAATTGTGCATTAAACTTGGCAGAAGTGTGTTCTCTGTAGAGGATGTGTTCGCCTATTTTCACTTGAAAACCTTTCAAATCAACAAAACGTCATTTGAGCATGGGGTGCCAAAACTTTTGCACACCACCGTACAGTCGTTTCCAATGGACAATAAGGTCCCTGTACTTAAGTACGGAAGTTCGTTTCAGCAGCTGCCCATTGGCTGCTGTCCGTGGTCGCTGACTGTGTGCCACAGATACGGCAGATGAAGTTTAGGTTAAAAACCACTGGCATATTCCTTTAAGCTTTTTGTGCCTTTTTGCTACTGCTTTGTCAATTTAAAGTAAAGATACTGTTGGGAGAAATTCCTGTGAGGATTATTTATGGGGATTTATCAGCTACAATGTGCTGTTTCCGCCTTCAGTCCTGTGTTTTGTGGCAAAGTTGCCTATAATTCTTGGTTAACCTTCATCTTCCCAGTTACGTACCACTAAAGACTGTGACCTTTTCTTGTACAATGGATTCCCAATAGGGCCACAGTGGTGTTTCCGTTTCCTCAGCCATGCCACATGGCCTTCCTGTTGGCATAAACGGGTGATGAATGTTGTTACTTTGCACCAAAGGGAGGCCTTTTGTTGTTTTTGTGTTTTATGTAATGTGTAAGCCCACATGTTCAACAGGATCGCTTTGGTAGTTGTTCACGTTTTGTTTTAAAGCTGCGAAACCAGTACTTGCACATTTGAGTAGTTATGCTGTGCTAATCTCAGAAATGCTATGATGTGTAATTTTGGTTGCTGCCTGTTCCCTCAGGCGTCTGACTGAGTCCTGTAGAGGTCAGCACAGTCCCACAAACGGCACTTAATATGGTCACACACAGCCAGGATCTACCCCAGCAAACGCTAGTGAAATCTTAAATAAACAGGGCGTAAGTAGTGATGTAATGGTTTAGTTGGCTCATCGTTGGTGAGTTGGTAATGACTACATGTGTTTACATTTCTCAAAATCACTACAACCAAAATGTAATCATAATTCACATACAACTCTACACATATATTGGTGGAGAGCGCCCTCTAGTGGTGCCTGTTTAATGTCATCTAGCTGTGCAGATGCTGGATGGAAATTTCTATGCATTTGATTTGTTTTGTGTGACTTAAAGAAGCTGTTCAGTCAAAAATTCTAACCTTGCTAAGAGAGAATCAAAGCGAATGGCCACCAAATGACATACCTACATGTGGTTAGTAACTCTATTTATGGTTTGTCCAATTAGCATGTCTGCTTGAGCTGTTCTGTTGCACTGCTAAACTATTAGAGTTAGTACTATTACTAGATCATTCTATGTAATAACATACATTCTGTGTAATAATAATAATAATACAATAGCGTTTACGGTCATGTGCAAAAGTTTGTGCACTCCTGATCAAATGATATGTTTTGTTGAATAAAAAAAAAGTTAACACGTTCTCTACTGGGAACACACTTCTGCACATTTAAATACACAGTCAGTGTTTATTTGCTGAAGTTATATTCAGCATATTGGGGAGAACAGATAAAACAATAAATGTGGCCTGCACAAAAGTTATGGCACATTTTATATTTTATGTTTTATTTGTTGCTCATATGTTAAACTCAGCAAATAAAAGAAAAATGTGCACAAAAAATAAGACACATTTTAAATTTGATTTTTGTCCAATATTTTAAACACAGCAAATAAATAGAAACACATTTATTTGCTGTGTTTAAAATATTGGACAAAAATAAAAACTGTGCATAAAAATTAGCAGGAAAATGTCATATGTAAGTTTAACCGGCGGTGTTCAAACTTTTGCATATGATTGTTCCAATCAGATAGTCGTTCCATTAATTGCATCACATGCAACTGTCCAGCTTGAGGACAGAATAACGGAGGGATGATCCAAAGCACAGCGCTTTCACACTGCATTGAACTTGAGTGTGAAGCTGTTGTTAGCACTGACACATTGTGGGAGATTCCCAGTCCTGGCTTAAGCTCTTTTTAGTCTAGGTGTAGGCTTAGTCTGGTTTTGACCACATGAGCATCAGTGATGTACAGTGAAGACACTCCAGGAAGCAGCTGTGGCTAAACTGGGGAAAACAGCTAAAAGAGAAAGACGAGCTTCAGCAGTCAGAGGTGAGTGTGCTGGTGGTGTTTCTTCCTCCTGGCTGTGTGTTTCAGGGGTGATTGCTGCTTCTACACAGTATGATGTCAGATCTCGGCACACGTTAAAGCAGTTTTAATAATTTATGATGTTTTGCTCCCTTTTTAAATGGGAGTGTGAGTCATTGTTCTGCTACTGACCTGAAAATGTATGAACATATGTTAAGATAAAATAAAGAAATCAGAGGTTAGTTGTGCAGCGTGTTTGATCTGTTCTTCTGATGTGTGTTGATGTCTGAGCCATTCATGTGTGTCAGGTTTGAAATGTGGTAAACGTTCGAGTCTCATGTTGATTACATCACCGTCACCACGAGCAACACGATGTGTGTGACAGAGTGGGGGCAGGTGCATACACACACACACACACACACACACACACACACAGGGGACCTCCAGCAGAACACAGCAGCTGAGGAGCTCTTACTGTCTGTGTCTTTATCTATCTATCTATCTATCTATCTATATACGGTTATGTGCAAAAGTTTGAACACCCCTGGTCAAATGACATGTTTTGTTGATTTTCTGAGTGTAAGTAAGTGAACACGTCCTCCACAGAGAACACAGCTCTGCACACTTTAATACACAGTTACTGATGATTTGCTGAATTTGTCATACAGGGTAAATACATTCAGCAGGTAAACCGTAATTGTGGAGCGCTGGAGGTCCATCCAAAATCTCTGGGATCTCTGTCTCTCTTGCTCTTTTTCTCTCCTTCACTTTCTCTCTCTCTCTCTCTCTCTCTCTCTCTCTCTCTCTCTCTCTCTCATTCTCTTTGTCTCTATCCTTCTTTCTCTGTCTCGCTCTTTTTCGTTCTCTTTCTCTCTCACATTTTCTTTCTCTCTTGCTTTCTTTCTCTCCTTTGCTTTCTCTTTCTCTCACTCTTTTTCTTTTAGTTTTTTTTCTTTCTTTTGCTCTGCTTTTTTTCTCTCTCCCTCTCCTTTTTTGTTTCTCTTGCTTTTTCTTTTTCTCTTGCTCTCTTCTTTCCCTTTCTCTGTCTTTCCCTCTCTTGCTCTCTTTCTCTCCTTCGCTTTGTCTCTCTCTTTCTTCTGTTCTCTCTTTCTCTTTATCTCTCCGTCATCTTCTTTATTTCTCTCCGTCAGCGTCTGTGTATCGCCCTTTTTCTTTCTCTTTCTTTCTCGCTTTTTCTTTCTCTCTTGCTCTCTTTCTCTCCTTCGCTCTCTTTCTCATTCTTTTGCTCTATCATTCTCTCTCCCTTCTTTCTCACGGTCTCCCTCACTTTTTCTTTCTCACTTTTTTCTCTCTTGCTCTTTTTCTTTCTCTTGTGCTCTCTTCTTTCCCTTTCTCTTTTTGTCTCTTTCTCTTTCTCTCTCCTGCTCTACTTCTCACCTTGACTCTCTTTCTCTTTCTTTTGCTCTCTTTCTCTCTGTTTCCTTTAGCTCTCTCTCCCTCTTCTTTCTTTCTCTCTCTTTCTCTGTCTGTCTGTCTCTCCTTTTCTTTCTCTTGCTTTCTCCTCTCGCTTCCTTTCTTTTTCTCTGTGTCTTTCTCTTGCTTGCTCTTTCTTTCCTTTGTTCTGTTTCTTTCTTTTGCGCTCTTTCTCTTTCTCCCTCTCCCTCTCCCTCTCCCTCTCCCTCTCCCTCTCCCTCCCTGTAGAGAGTAAGGCAGGGACAGGTCTGTGCTGTTCTGCTGTGGTTTGATGTGATTTCTGACTCATGCCATTGTAGAGCCACATGGATGTCGGCCTATCTGACGTTGGGCCGCGAGCTGCCAGAGGCGCGTGTTATATAACAGAAATGTGGCTGCCTCAAAGAGACAGACTCACACACACACACACACACACACACACATACACACACACACAGTGGAATAAACAAAAAACACGTCTCACCTGACCTATAAGGGTGAGCGAGTAAACAAATGAAGCTTAAAGCAGAGGCAGTGAGGGCAGAGCGCACGAGCTGATGCTCATCCTCCAGTCTCTCTCTCCCACTGGATGCTCCGCCAGCAGCAGCGCCGAGGCTCCGTGAGGAGGAAACTCACAGCGTGAGTGAAACACTTTCATACATTCATAATCAGACGCTGCATCGCATCTGTAGAGCTGTCATTTTACTGCAGGCCTGCAGGCAAGTGTTAATTAGCCTGGAGTTAATTGCTTGTAGCTGTAACTAATGACTAATTAACACTCTTTGAAGTCTCTATTGTGATCTGTGTTGTTATATAAGTACAGTAGCCAATAGTTAATGTGATACTGTCCTAAAAATAAAGGTTCTTAAATGGTTCTTTGCTTGGACTTACAGTTCTAGGAGAAGCCTTTCATTATGGACAGGTTCTTTAAACTTCACAATGTTTCTTCACACTTCCAAGTTTAAAAAGGTTCTCCTCATTCACAAAAATGATAATTTACTAGTAGTAATAATAATAATATAAAATAGATACAGAAATCCATTGTAACATGGTTTAAAGAATCTTGATGGAACCAAAAGTGGTTCTTCTTTTGCATCACTCTAATAAACTCTTACTTATTTTGAAGAGTTTAGGGCTGCACAATATGGACAAAACACTATTGTGATTCTGATAAATTTGCAGGAGCAGAGGCGATCAGGCCACAACTCCACACATTTGGGTGTTTTCTGAAGAATAAAAGTATTTGAGGAGAGTTCACAGCCCAGGCCTGAGTGATACCCAAAAATAATTAGCATATTTCCTCATTGACAAAATTGCAAGGGGCAAAATCACTAATTATGC